AGTTCTTCCGGCACCCCTGAAGGCGAGCGGTAGGGAGAGGGAGATGTGCGTGTGTCAGTGAGGGGGGTGAGGAATGGCACCTGATGTGATGTGACAGAACGAAGCTGGCCGAGCCGAAGGAGACATGGGCGGTGGAAGATGATTGACGATGGACGGTGGACGGCGGCGACGGCGGGTGAAGGTCGGCGAATGGGCGGTCCATGTCGTAGGTTTGCTCACAAAAACAGGGAAGAGGAACGGGTGGGACGAGGGACAAGGAAGGCCGGGTGTAAGGTATCTAGAATCCAGCAATGGATCTGGATTACCTAAAGTCCCCTAAGGGGTTCATCTTGCCCGATTTTAATCTTTCATTTCGAAAAACCCCAGGCCACAAGGCAGAAGATATGGACAGACGAGAGGAAGAGGAAGGGAAGGGGAAGGAAGGAAGGAAGGAACGAGGACAGCAAGGACAGGGACAGGCACCAGGCAGGAGAGCCCACAACTGCAAAGTCAGTTTAACCAGTCCGTCGGTGACAGAAGTACCGCGCCCTATATTTTACTGCCGGGAGATACTTGGCACCCGCCTGTTGCGACCGAGTAGAGAGAGATGACGGGAGGAGGGAGCTGGGCGGTGGATGACAACTGCCCGGATGGATGTTCTAGGGCGCCGCTGTCTCCTTCCCTACAAGGCTCGGGACGCTGAGACGGACTGCAGCACGTGGCCACTGTATCTGCCCAACGATGCGGATACCTAGGAATCCGAATCCGCACCTGCCTTGACAACTGAGTGAGGTGTGGATTGGTACCTGCCTGGCTTTCATTGCTTACCTTACCTTAAGGTAGGTTGGAGGTGAGGAAGGCGCGTCCACTGTTGTGCTGCTGCGTTGCTCCTGCGGTTCTGGGTCTGGGAGAAACAAGCCAACAGCAACACATGAAATGGCAAGAACCCAACCTACCGTCCGCCTTCTCGGGACGGCAACGCACCGGCGCGGTCCAAACTTGAACCGAAAAGGCTTGTAGAGCGCAGATGGCCAAAACTTATCCCAACGTCAGCTCGACGAGTCGGCTTCGGGCCTGGCTCCGGTCTGCCTCTGCCTTTGACTCCTCATCCTCGTTGCCGTCACAGCTCGTCACTGCATGCGATGCATCATCTGTCCACGTCAAACTGTTTCATCGCCTACTGTACCTACCTCACCAAGAGATGACCATTGTTATCTTTGCCTTGCTGTGTGCCGGTATGTCGTCGCCCTTGACCTCAACTTTGCCTTCCGGCTCACCTGCAACCATCAACTCCAACTGCATGTCTAACTGCACCGGAGCCAAGATACATCGAGCCCTAGCTTCCCTCCGCCTCCCGAGCTCCTGGCCCTCATTTGGAATGCAAGCGCTCAACCTGATGGACGACCCATCTCGAGCTTTGGCCCATCCCCTCGTCTACAGCCCCTCTTCAAATCTCGCTCCGAGGTTGAAAGAGACGACACCCCGTTGAGAGGCAACGCCGCAAGGGCATGGACATGGAACTTGGACATGGGAGACGTACTTGGGAACACCATTCCTGCCATCGACCGACCCCTGTCCACGGACATCTGACGTCCAAAAAAGCCCGGGGCAGTGTGCGGCGCTATGCGCCGCCGCATTCCACACACATCGCACCACGCACGGCACGAATACAGAGACCACCGAGTACTCTCCTTCTGGTCTCTCCATCTTGAGTGCGCAGTTTAGTATCCTTACGGTACCTCGCTCCGAAGACACGCGCCTAGCGACATCATACTGCGGGAAACACCAAATCCAACTGGAACCGATGTGCTCACCACAGAAAGACTCTGCATCTCATCCCTGACAGCGCCTCCGGTGCCAACGCCCTCTTCCCTCCTCCAGCGCCCTCCCCGCTCCCTGACTATGCGCATCCGCCCCCCCATTCACGTAGGAGCTCAACCTCAGAACGCTCCATCTGCTTTCCTCCATTCAACTCAACAGAGGAGGAGGCAAAGCCCAAACGAAGCCTGGAACCGTTCCAGCGCACTCCATCACTATCGCCAAACGCCATGGACAAAAAGCCATCTCGCGCTTCGAAATGTCGCTGCCGAAAGTATGGGATCTTGCATGCAAAGGAAGACCGTCGCAATGGGCAAAGCATCGTTTCCTTCTCCCGCAATTATCCAGCATTTGCCAAGCAATGGTACAGCGCTTTTGCGCCAACTTGCTATCCAAGAGCCTAGATAATGGGTGGCATAACATCGACGCTTCTAACTCATTGTTGACCCGTATCTGAGTCCATCTCTAAAAGTCTGCCGCGGTCCAATTCCGACAATCACAATCTCGCCAAGGAGTTACCAGGGCGGGTGCAAATCGACACCACCGACCCTGACACCATGAACCTCCTGAGAGTACATCGCCAGCCCGCCTCCGTCCATCGTGTCTGCTACACCACTACCAATGAGCCAACGCCTGAGTGATGAGCGATGGAAATACCAACTTTGGGGCAGCGACTGCTGTTACTGATGGCTGACTGGGATGTTACTGCTGACCCCCGTCACCACTGACCTTGATCCTGGTGAGCCCCCCTGCCCAGCCGCTGCCCCCCTCGACAACCAATCTGCGATCCAGCCGTGACAGCAGGCCAATTATCGTGGGGCATATCCCCTGCCCAAGATGCAATGACCGCAAAAAGTCGTACCATTTCCTTAGCCATCAGAGATTGCTAGACTCCGACCCAGGGGGGGATTTGCTGGCGCACGAGGTCGGCACCAAGATACGCAGTATCCGTACAGAGCACTGCTGCTGGGCTTCTCCAGCTCTGTCTCCTCTAGAGTCGTTGAGGCACCGCGGTGCTATCTTGACAGCCGAAGCACTGGACAAATACCTGCAAATTACACATTGCCGCCGAGGTATCACCCAATGGTTGCTGATAATTTACGCGGTATGTAGCTACTGATCATGCGGACTGCAATGCCTTGTCTACCATAGTCGTCCATTGGCAACGTCAGACTACTGACGCTTGGTAAAGAGCGTTGTCTTCCGAGAACTCTCTCCTTCCACGCCACGATCCGACAAGAGACCTGGGTGAATGAGCTCCAACAACCGAAGCCTCGACTGCAGACCATCTGCACATCAGCAGTCAATCAATCGACATGTTGCCGCCAATCTGGATGCTAAAATCTGGCCCCCCTTCCTACCACCCCGGCCTGTTGACTAAATGGATACCTGGGCAATACGATGCGTTACCTGATCCCTCACGACCCCGGTCTGCTCTGACCGGTACATGCAAAGGTGCAGTCTGCACACGCATCTCAGTCCCTCCGGCTCGCGACGATTCCTAGTCCAACACACCGCACATCTGGTCCCCGAGCAGCGATTCCTTGCCCTCCCCCCACATACCCCAAGAACAGTTAGGGGACGGATGATGGATCTGGTTCATCAGGAGCAAGCATAAGGCAACATGGACCTGCCACCGTTGAGGCACTGTACTGAAGACCACCATACCACCCTCCCCCCCCCTCTCAGCGCCCCTGTAGCCCGCGAAAGGGTACCTCCGTACATATCAGACCTTACCTGCGTGTGAATATACCAAGCACGTCCACTCAGAAATCACACCTCGCTCGTCATTTCCTCTCATAACCCACACGTCTGCGTTCTCTCTCTTCGTTTCCTTTTCCTCCCTTCTCTTCCTCTCTCTTCTTCCATCAACCCATTTCCAATCCATCATACTTATCCGACGAACCCAGCAATATTCCTGCGACCGTTCACGACTGGAACCATCACCAGATCGGCCTCCGCAACTCTTTGGATCGGGTGTCAGATCTAGAGGTACCATCTCAACTCAGACAGATAGTCATCGAAGAGTAGCACCGCACTTGGAAGACACGCGAAGCCTAACATTGCGCACTTCGTCAGCCAACTCGCCGGACATACCAAACCGGCCAGGCACGAACGCTTCAAGGACTCATCGCCCATACCAAAAACACACCCTCCCTTTCTCTTCAGCACTCATTGAAGGGCGCCCGCCCTCCAAGGCGCTAGACCGGCACCAAAAAGCAACGGCATCGAAAAGAAATTCAGAAATTCCACCGGCCCAGGCCCACGGATTTTTCGCACACCCACACCCACCCACCCCATCGACGAGTCTGAGTCTCACTCCCAGACCCCGTCGAAATAGGCCCACCCCGACTAGCCTGGACGAGAGATTTTGACAGTGTGTGTCTTGGACAAAATACAAAAAGCCGCCACAAAGAGCAGCGTGGTAACTTGACCGACGCTAGGCGGCTTTTTCTTTCTCAGCTCGGAACCTCTCAACTAGCCCAATTGGAGCCAGCATCACCCCCGATTCCTCCCCTACCCTCCCCCCTTCATTCTCACACACCACACACACCCCCCAAGAGAAAGGATACATGCAGTGACTTTCCTATCCCGCCACCACGCATCACACACGCGCGATAGCTTGATCAGATCTTGCCTACCGGGTACCCAGCTGGAAGAGGTTCGACTAACTTAACCTAACCTCACCTCCTCTCCTCAGGGCCAAGCCACACCACACCACACTGTCTTTGCTCACACTCTCCCTCTGCCCTGCCCGGCTTTTATTCTTACATGACTCTGAGCTTCCCACCTTCAACCACTTTCTCTATCATCTCCACCCAAATACACCAAACCTCACCGGACACCCGTCTTGACACCGACCTCACGGACTAGACCCGCTCTCGTCCCTTCACGCCTGGTCGAGTCAGATGCCTAGAGGCTTATAGATCTCATCTGGGGTTCTACTCACTTCATCTGTTCTCCCGGCAAACCCGCTATGGAAGCGGGCGGATCTGGTTCTAGGCAAAGGTCCGTTCGATTCTCACAGACGCCCCCCGTTACCTCATCATTTCAATTGTCCTGCCCCTAGACCAGACATTAACAAGTGCTTCCCATTTAACAGCCGACCACCTTCTGCCAGTAACCCCGATCGCTTTGAGTCCCATCATCACCCTCCCCCAAGAGAGCCCCTCGACAACAGACACTACCGCGACGGCCCCGCCATGGCGACCGCAGCCCTTATTAGCCCGAGCACAACCCCGTATGGCCATCCGACATCTTTTTCATCCAGCTATCCGCACCCAGCTCCCGGGCCCAGCATTGCAGGCATGATTTCTCCAGTTGAGCCTCGACGACCCTCGGATGAGTCTGAGACTCCTCATCGACAATCACTCCCTTCGCTCTCTGAGGTCATATCTGGTGCGAAACCCAGCCAGTACCCGCCTTCACAAGCATCCAGCATGTCAGGTTCCCAAAGCTTCCCTTCTCCCTTTGCACCAGGGCCTCCAAGATCGTATGCCGAGTCTTCCACCGATAAGAACTCTCCTCGGCCTCACCATCTCGCGTCGACATATCCACCAAGGCCCGACGCACTCCCCGCCATTTCGGACCCCTCGAGGCCGCCGCCGCCATTCGCAGCTCGTCCTCCGCCGCCTATGAGCAGCTTTTCCGGCCCTCAGCCGAGCCCGCCTCACAAGCCCGAGCATATGCGCGATCCTGACCCAAGGGCACCTGAGCCGGCTGGTCCCTACACACAACATGCCGCGCCGCCGCCGCCCCCGATATATCCTCACCCGCACGCGAATCAACTCCCGGCAGGACAGGTCCCTTTGCCAGCGGCGTACCCCGTGTCACCTCGCCATGGTGGGCCTCCTCTGCCATCGCCATACGATGCTCAGCGTCCCGGAGTCCATGAGGCTCAAGACTCTGAGTACGGTCCCGCCCGCCCTCAATACGACCGAACCTTGAACCGACATTTGGATGCGTGGGGCTACTCGGATGCCCTAGGTAGAGTGAGTGTTCCCATTAGTGTCACATCCTCCGTCAAGCTTACCAATAAGTTTAACCAGATCGCTTCCGCTACGAGGACGATTTACAACTTCGCCGAAGCTTACGGTCGCATCGCCGCAGAGCAGCATGGCAACCAGCAGCCACTGCCCGACAGGCTTCCTACTGAGCGGGAAGTAAATGACATGCTCGACAACGTGGAGTACATTAGAAATTCTTTGGACTCGGTGAGGCAACTTGTCAAGGACAGCAACGAGCGTGCGAGGGTAGTTGGCAAACAGAAGGGCTACGAAGACGAGGACACGCCGATGTACGACGGTATGAATAAGAACAGCTACGGTATCACTGAGGTCAAGAAGCGACGCGGGGTAAGTTTTCCAACAGCAGCATCACACGCCCGGACGACACTGAAGCTAACTGGGACACAGAGAGCTGCTCCTCCCGGCAGATGCCATAGCTGTAACCGAATCGATACTCCCGAATGGCGAAGGGGGCCTGATGGTGCCCGAACTCTCTGCAACGCCTGTGGACTGCACTACGCCAAGCTGGAGCGAAAGCGTCAGCTTGAAGCGCGACAAATCCGTCCTAAGCCTTGTGACGAGAGGAGCTAATACAATGACTGGCCCGCGCGTGGTCCGTCCACCTTAAACCATAACAGTATATACCGACAGAAGCTCAGGGCTTCGATCACCACGCATACCCCGATACTTCCACATCGCATTCGGTCCCAGTTTGTTGCACCTTCAAATAAAACCCCAGATACCCCGGTCAACGCAACCCGGCACCTTATCACCATCAGACACGCAGCAGCCGCCGGCGTTATCCTTCATACACTAGCAACAAAACTGGCTATATTATTATTTCTCAATACCCGGCATCGACTTTTTCCAGTACTTTTCAACCTTTCATATTGTATATATCCTGCTCCTCAACATACTCATCGGATGGGCATCGAAGGACAAGGCATTCATCTGGCGGCGTTCACTAAATGTTTGGGATCGAATATTTGTTACTTTCCAAATGGCCGCATTCAACGGGCCTTGCCGGGACATTTCCCGACTTTCACAGTGTGCGCTTCGTCAGAGAGATGCGTAGCATGAGCTTTTTGGAGCCAATGTCACAAACATTCTCCGACAGTCGATCGTTACTGAAAAGAACATGCAAGAAACTTCGCCTACTCATTTTTCACTATTCTATCCACATTTCCTTGATCATCGCGGCGTGGTTTCTACGGAACTGGGGGAAAATTCGGGCGAAGAGCATTTTCATTGGTCCCTTTGAGGACAGGAAAGTAGAACGAACGACATTGGGAGTCGTCATACCCGAGATCGACCCTTTGGACCGGCGCAAGTCTATGGGAGACCTTGGCATTCATGTTTTCAATTTCTCTTATTCTCTTTACTTTCTACGTATCTACGGGAAATCTCTCCTGAGGATGAGATGTATCTGGCTATTTTTGGTCTCTGGAAAGGATACAGGGGCATACAACTACACGCAGTATTAGCTGATTTTTTAATTGTAAGAGTAGCCGGATTGGAACAAATACCACGGTGGGCGGATGAACGGGGGGCGAGCAGGCGGGCGGTGGCTGGTTTGCATCGAAAATAGGAAAGAGAGATATCACACACACACACACACACACACAAACAAACAAACACCTCCACAATTCATGTCAAGGATGACTTGTCCAGAGACCGAGATTTCCTGCCGAGCGCGCCAAAAACCCACGGTTTGAATGTGACTGACTGGCACTGGGCACACCCAGGGAATCTCCAAAGGCAGAAGTTCCTGTGCCTTTCCCCCCTGACAGATCTGGGAGATCTAACTTGACCGGTTACGAATCTGTACAAGCCCACCCCTCCCCAACCCCACCGACGCGTGGCGGATATGTCCGTTCCAAGAGATTGGGTTTTGACAGGCAATGCGAAAGATGAGGAAACCTCGGTTACGGGGGTTTATTTGACGGCGGCTGGCTGGCTGGGTTGGTGTGCCCAGGTGTGGTGCGGTTTGGTGGTGGTGGTCCCCGCCGTGGGCGCAAGGACATGCCTGAAATGGGAGTCAAGTGACGAAGGAGGACGATGGAGCCTACCACACCCACGGTGGAGGGGGGAACCATTAATTATGTCCTCGGTGATGTTTTGTATGATGTAGATTGTGTGTATAAGATACTGGCTGCTATACAGTTAGTTGTTCATCTCTCGCTCTCTGCCCCCGGACGCTCTGTTTCGACGGGGTTTAAAATAGGGACGTTGCAGCCAGAAATAAGATGTACTTGAACAAGATACATGGCATCCATCACAGGAAGAGAAATTGTCAGCATCACTTGTGTGGGCAGGTTGAACCCTTTGGGCTTTGCCTCCCCCATGCTCGTCCCCCCTCCAGTGCTTCCACCCTTTCCCCTCGTGACAATTATTCTGGGTAAGAAAAATAACACACAGTAACACGAATGACAAATTTCCCGATGGGAGAGGGGGGGAATCGGCATCGCATCGTAACGGCGCGGAACGGACGGGTAGAATCTCAATCTCACAACATCGCGAGATTTGTCCTTTCTTTGCCCTTTCCTGCTCCTTCGATTTCACGAGATGGACGGACAGGGGGAAGGGGGGCGTGTGTCAGTGGGATGCAGCTTTTGCGGGGCCTACGGTGTTTTGTTCGTTCATAAAAAAAAATCCGATAAGCGGAGCGGGAATCTCGGACGGGTAGGTAAGGACCTTTTTTTTTTTTCTTCCTGGTCTAATCGCGCGTCGGCGGGCGGCCTTGTGCTGGGCAGGTTGTGAGAAGTGATTAGAAATGAACTACACCCGTCAGCCAGCCTGGTCTGGTCTCTGCTCGTGCCCCGGTGCGGGCACACCCATCCATCCCCTGGGAGGACGAGGGTCAGAGCAGGTTTTTGGACACAGAGGGGAGGGGGGCCGGTGCCGGTGGCCTGGTATTACCATGTGCTCCTTGGGGTTTATTATTCAAGGTATGTTACATGGGGTGGTTGTGTGAATGTGGTGACGGAGACGGGCTTCGTCGCCGACGGCGTTGGGGTGAAAATGGCGGTGGGGCCCAGAGATCATCGTGTGGAAGTATGGAAGGCGAGGAAGAATGTTCTTGGAAGATTGGATGACTCTTACTTTTGTTTTGGGGTGTCATGGTCACGGCTGGAATCTGGTATGTGGAGAGAGACGCAACGAAGGAAGCGATGCCTTGTCTTTCCCGTCATTTGAATATCGCAGATCGCGATTAGTGACGCGCATGTATTTTCCGGCCAGTGCTATTGACACAAAGATGGTGTCGCCCGTATATTGGGACACACGCAACGCGCGCCACGCACGGCACGCGCGACGCACATACTTTATAACAGAGATCTTAAGTCACGTCATGTTCGCGACACGAACAAGCAGCCAGCATGAAAGGGACAAAACCTGCGTTCGCCGCGTGGTCTGTGGCCAAGATTGATAGTCCCGGATGTTGTCTTTTGCTTTTCGGGATGGAGGTGCCGGGTCGACCGGGAAGGACGATGTTAGGGCGTGTGTGGGTGTCGCTTCTTCTTCTTCTTTTTGAGTTTTCTAAAAATCGACGCACTTAAACTCATAGACGCGCGCGCGCGCAGCGTTAGTATGTATCAACGGTAATAACAGAAAAGCAGATACGGTTATAATAGTGTCATGGGTGGATTATACAAAACCAAACCACGATGGACCATGGGTGTGGGTGGCTCTTTGGCAATCTATCTGCCCGAGCAACCTTTTTTGGTTTCTTTTGGAAAAGGATGGATCGGGAGGACTCCACGAGCAGTTCATGTACCGCGCTTGTTTGAATCTCGAGTCTGGTGTTGCAACCTGGGAAAAACCTTGCCTTGCGTCGTGTCGGCAAGGCTGTCCCTGCCTGACATTGTTTTATCCCGCCGCGCCGTCCGATTTGCAATGGCGCGCTGCCGCCGCCGCCCGATGGGAATCAGGAGGAACCGGCCACGACCCTGTATCTGTGTGGTTTTTTTCTTGGGATGTTTCCCTGGGAAGAGGCCTTCCGCGGAAGAAAGTGCGAAGAGGGGCCTAGGCTTCGTCTCCGGGTTTTGGCTTTGGGTTGGTTTTAAGGTAGTGCGTTTTCCGGGGACACCTTTTTTACACTGTTGATGAACTCTCTGGCGTTCGGGTGTGTGCCAATATGGTTTTGTTCAGTCTTTTTTGGCACATGGCACGTTGTGTTCTAGAGGCTCGGCGGGCAAAGTCAAAAAAACGACAGTCAGGCCGCCGGGTAATGCTCTTCCGCCTTCATCGCAGCATACGGAAAACAACGTGACTAAGACTGTGTCCTTGAAAATTCACATGTGCAAATCACTTGATCCTTTTTTTTTCTCTCGCAATTGTTAAGGTTGGCATCATGAGATAGGCAGGTAGAGGGAGGGGCACCGGGAGACAGAAGCAAAAACGAAAAGAAAAGGACAAAATTCAAATCCCGTTGTTACACAACCAGGAGCGGGCATCGGTGTCTGCGCTGCATTTGCACCCTGTTGCTCCTTCGTAAATACATACATACATACGTACTTATGTTCTTTGTGTCGCCAGCGCGCGGTTGAAATTTCCGCGCGGCGGGTGTCACGAAGTGTATGCGTGCGTATCTACCTAGATTTCCCCCCTCCTCGTCCTGGCCCCCCTGTGCCCATTGTGTATACGACGACACACGACGACGACGTGTACACGGCGTTGCGTTACCGGTCCGATGCGTGTAGCGGCAGCTCAAGGCAAGGCAGGGCAAGAAGAGGGCGGCGGCGTGCGGCGGGGGCATAGATCGTAGACGGGTAGTCTGCTTGTTCATATCGGTGTTGGTGGGACGTTGTACGGTGACACGACGACGTTCTAGCATGTTGGCCGTACACAAGCCTTCTTTTTCCTGTGGAGTGTGAGAGCAACGGGAGTGATTGAGAGGCGTCGGCGGCGGTGCGTGTCATTGGTTGGGATAGGTTGCAACGGGTTTGCATTGGTAGAGGTGGAAGAGGCCGATACATACGTACCCCGTGTGAGTGCAGTAGCTGGCCATTACGGAGTTGGTTGAATGAGATGGAGAAATGCAGTTGGACCTCTTGGTTTTTTTCGGTACCATTTTCTCTCTTGTGTAATCTTGACACGACGAAAGCCAAGTCGCGAGCCGACATGGCCCTGCAGTGGGACATGTCGTACAAGAGCTTGGGGAAAGGCGGCGCGCGGAGGCAGAGGGGGAGGAGTGTGGTTAATGCTGCTGTCTACGGCCGCAGGGCGGGGGAGAAGACAAAAGGAGGAGACACACGGTTGGAGATGCACAAGGTGATGATGTTTTGGTTTTTTATCTTTTCCAAGATGCGGCGGGGGCATGATCGCGAGGCGGACAGGAGTTGGCAATGGAATTGGGTGGTTTACGAGCAGCAGCAGCAGCAGCAACAAATGAAGTAATACCCCAGCAGCAAGGCAGCCTGCAACTTTCTCATGTGCTGTCTGTATGTTTATTCACTTTCCTTTCTTTCCTGTTACGATCCGTGGGGCCTGCTTGGTTGGTTGGCTGCCTGATTGGGCTCTCGGTCGGGGTGTTCGGGTTTTGGTTGTGGTTTCGGCGGCTACGTTGTTTCGTTGTCGTCGGTGGTTTGGTG